GTCAAGGAAACTCCGGATACTTGCAAATGAGCACCTGTCTCTTATACACATCTAGATGTGTATAAGAGACAGGAGAGGGGCCTTGCCACAAACAAAACGGACCTAAAACGGTCTGGTATTCCCCAAATCCTTGAGAATCTCTGAAAAACTCCACAGCCTGGTCATAGGAGGCCAGCATTCCCATGTTGAGTGCCATGGCTCGAACCACCGTGGGTCCAGATCCCCTCCACAGTCCCAACACACCCTCATCCTTTGTGATCCTGGACAGCGCATTAAACACACTGGTGTAGTTGCGCCGTTGATGAGGAGGTAGGGTGGCATCAGCTTGCATACGAATCAATGACAAATCCGCCGGACTTCCGATGCATGCACCCATACCGCCAGCTGTCAACCCGATGATGGCTTTCTGTGCCAATGGAAGAGGGCGTCCCTCATTGGCCTTCACGGCCATATCCGAAAGAGCCCTGTTTTCACCGAGAAAACAACAACAACACAGAAAGCATCCACAATGTCATGTTTAAGCAAGTCCCAATTCCAAACAGGACAGACAAGAGGTGGTTTGTTCCTTCCCCCCCCCCCCCCCCCTGTACTTGACCAACAGCACTGCTTGATGCCCACAAAAACGTGATTGGGAAAGTTGTAGGCTGTCTTATCCACATCACAAGCACACTATGGTTTCCTTTAAACGAAGAGTCGTCTTCTAATTTTTCTTTTTTGTAACCACCAGTACCGTTCGAGCCACCTTCCCTTTTTGGGGCTACCAAAGCTCTTCGTTTAATGTGAACGCAGCCGGTAGAGTAGAGGGCAACCGATCGTTCGATGTGGGCACCCAGTACTTGTATGAAGGTGTTTCTTCTTTTCTCTGCTTGATCTTTTTTTTTCTTTTCTTTTTCTGTTGTTTTCTTGAAAGAAAGACAACAAAATTCTGTGTTGGGCAGTCACGACTGAGGAAAGAGCTGCCAACGGCATTGGTGGCAGACCTGAGGGCTTCGCACCACTACTCACAAAATGCGCAAAATGGGAATGAATCTTTAGCTAGAACAGTGGAAAGGCGCACAGCCATGACTTTTGTCCTTCGTGCATGTGGTGAGCAACGGAGTCCTTCGTGCATATGGTGAGCAACGGAGCCCCAGGCAAATCTCGTAGGATGAGGGACCTTGCTCGCTGCCCGCCACATGCACAGCAGACGAAAATTATGCGCGGTCTTTCTTTTTCTCTTTTTGTTGTGGGGCCATATCTCTATTCTTGCGTGTCATCTTTGTCCAGGGTCATGCTAATCTTCTCTGTATCGTTCCAAGTTGTGCAGCAAAATTCATTCTCATCTGGACAGAGTGTCGCTGCCCTGTTGGTTTCTGGACGAGTGGCCTTACCCACTGCCCACAACGTGCAGAAATGTGCTGCACCTTCATTGTTTTTCTTTTCTATTTTTGACCATATCTCGATTTATGTATGTCATCCTTGCCCAGGGCCGTGCTAATCTTCTCTTTTTTGTTCCAAGTCGTGGCACAAAATTCATTGCCACTTTAACAACTGGAGGCAGTGCAGCTGCCCACCCCTCTCGTTCTAGGACTTGCAGCCCACCACACACATTTTCAGGGGCGGTACACACTGTTATCGGGGCAGTCTTCTTTTTTTTTCTTGTCTCGAGTGTTTTCTTTTTTGTATGAGCCAACACTGGTAGTACTGTCACTCCTCACCTCACGAACAAAGGACAAACGTTTGATTTTCTCTCCTTCCCTGCTTTTCTTCTTTTTTTTCCATTATAAGAAATGACCATAGTGTGTTCACAGGTCGTTCCTTCTTGTTTTCAAAACGAACGACCTCCGCAGCTCTGTTGAGGGTCTACCCAGCCTCTATCGACCCTGCCCAGGTCTTCCATGAATTCAGGAAGAACAAAAAGATTTGGCTGGGCAGGGTACTGGTGATTTAAACTCTTTTTGTATGTCAATCACATTCGTGTTCTTATTTATAGATCCGATAAGTTCTTTTCACGTGGATTCCATTCATGTTTTCTTTCTCTTTTCTTTTTCTTATTTGGAAAGTTCAACGCTTTTAGTTACATCAGAATTTGAATTTGAGGTCAGGAACTCAGAATTCAACCTGGCATTCAGTTTTCTTTCACGATGACAGCAAGAGGAAGTATGTGGATACACCCATTCGTTCTATTTATAGATTGGATAAGATTGCGGATAAGGTTCAGTTTTTTCACAATGAAAACAAGCGAGAACGTGCATGGATAAGCACTTGCGTTCTACTTATAAATTCGATAAGATTTGATAAGCTAAATCCAGATCGTAGTAGAGGCTGGATGCTAGGCCTTGCCTGTTGCTGTACTCGACCAGTGGGGAGATCAGATGGCTTGTAACAGCCCCAAGGACAGGGGCAACATTCGTGAACTTTTTAGTTGTCCTAATCAGATCGCAACTCGAGACCTACAGCAGTGCGACCCAGACCTGTCTCTAGACCTAGACCTACACCAACCCACACCTTCCGAAGGTCTCAGACGAGTCCCCCGCGGGTGCTACCATAGGGACACCTCGACCGGGACATAGGATAAGCTTTTTCATGTGGATAAGATTTAGTTTTTCATGATGACAAAATAGAGAAAGAGGAGAAAAGGAAGATGAAGATACGCACACAAACAGAAAGGAAACAAGAGAGAAAGCGAGAGAGAGAGAGAGAGAGAGAGAGAGAGAGAGAGAGAGAGAGAGAGAGAGAGAGAGAGAGAGAGAGAGAGAGAGAACGAGAAAAGAGAAAAAGGGTGTGTGTGTGTGTTGGGCGGGGGGCAGAGCAGAAGAATGGCAAGAGCCAAGCATGGAAGTTCAACTATCATGCTCACTTACAAAAAAGCAGGACACGTAATATCATTTCGAACCGACTTTTCCGCACATTTACAGCACCACATGGGACACCCGAAGTAAGGGGTGCCTTCCAAAACCGAACTCCATGAGGGGAGAGAGAACCCCTCAAAGCTGTGATGAGAAGGAGATCCCCGAAGTAAGGGCGGGAGAGGAAACCCCTCACAACTGTGATGAAAAGGAGACCCGGGTCAAGGGGACAGGAAAAAGAAATGCTCTAAATTGAGATGAAAGAGGGTTTAAACGTTAACGCAATCCACACTTGTAAAAAAAAAAAAAAAAAAAGATAAACCCACCTGAAGGTTCCCAGCCTGGCAGTGGTGTAAGTGGCCTGTCGCAACAACCCTGCCGACAATCCCTGCCCACCACAGAGAACAAGGCAACCAAATCGGCAAAAAAAAAAAAAAAAAAAAAAAAGGAAAACAGAAGGCAAGCCAAACCGACAAACGACATCAGGAAGGTCACGCAAATCAGCAAAAACTAAGAACGGGTTCACACCAGATTGTCATGGATGGCATCTGAACGCATTTATGGTCGAATTCACTACCAGTCTGCAGGGGCTGATCGTACATACGACATAGAAATGACAGCTGTTTTCCTTCTCTCGTTCGCTTCCGCCTGTTCTCGCTCAGTGGGCTCGATCACCCGACCTATTCTCTTGACTAAGGGCATACTCTCACGCGGACTCCCCTAAACGTGTCTGACTGCAATTACGGCCAGTCCTGCATGCATCTGACTGCAATCACGTCCAGCGCTTTGAAGAAAAAGTCCTAGTGCAAGTATTATGCCCTCATGTGTGTCATCCTTGCGCACAGGCCATGCTAATCAAGATACTATCTCCTCTGTATCGTTCCAGTTCCGATTTGAACGGAAGTCACTACGGTGGATCACAGCAGTTGAGTGAGTGGTCCCTAACTACACATGGTCAATATAACTACGTCAAAATACAACTATAAAGGCTGTGCGTTCTATTCTGGAGAAGACGACTGCAATTTCAGTGCCTACACAGAATGTGGAACGGGAGAGCGAACTGGAAAGAGGGGCGGAAGAAGCATCTGAGAGCCAGGGACCCTTGGAACGTATCCGACCACAACGACAACCAGATTCATTCCTAGGCTCGATCCTGGCCGTGATGTGACTGAATAGTACCATCACATGTGACTGAGAATAGACGGATCCAGTGTTCGAATCCCGTTGAGTGGTACAATACGTCAGGGGTTAAGACTTCATTTGGAAAACAAAAGAGAAAGCAAATAACTCCCAAAATGCAGGGGTCCCCTGTATAGCCTTCGTAGTAGTGGCAGGTAGGTAGTGAAAGGTGAATTGAGAGCAGAAGCATAGCCTAGTAACAAAAAAGGCACAAAAGGCATACACCAAGAAGGAGAGGACCAACACAGGATAACAGAATAACGACGATAAGAACCGGCTCGCTGAGGGCCACGTGGCGAGTCCCGAGTGCGACGTGTTCTTCTGAGTTGCCACGTGGAACGATCCCTTATGTTTTTCCACGTGGCCAAGAAGCGGAACACGTGGGCAACAAGTTACCACGTGGAGCACGTGGTAAAACAGGGCCACGTGGCGAGTCCCGAGTGCGACGTGTTCTTCCGAGTTGCCACGTGGAACGATCCCTTCTAGTTTTTCGACGTGGCCAAAAAGCGGAACACGTGGGCAACAAGTTACCACGTGGAGCACGTGGTCAAAGGGTTGCAACCTGGAGCTCTAAGTCAAGGAAACTCCGGATACTTGCAAATGAGCACCGCGCACACGGACTCTGGCTGCTCAGATCCAAAGTCAAAAGGGATAATCGAGCGGTTGTACCGGCCAAAACTCATTTACGCACGTCCTAAGGTATCAAATGTGATGCCGTACGTGGAGCACGAGGTTCAACAAGTAGCCACGTGGAGCACGATGCCAACAAGTTGTCACGTGGAGCACTAGCCCAACGATGGAGCATGTGGTCAACAAATTCCCACGTGGACCGCGTGGCCAAGAAGCTGCCACGTTGAGGGCCCCTCCATCGCGTATGAGGTAATATAACTGGAAGAAGGGTTGGTTCAAGAAAAAAGGGCCCCAAGGTTCCACGTGGCAACTTAGGAAGAACACAGAGCACTTACGACTCGCTACGTTGTCACGTGGCGGAGGAGGGGATACGGGATAAGAGAGCATTATCGATGGAGAAGAAAAGGCGGGAGAGCGGGTGCAAAGCACCACCAACCATCAAAAAAAAAAAAAGATCCGCGGCACAAAAAAAAAAAGATGGCAGGGCCTAGAAACAGAACAAAATCAGGGAGGAGACGGGTAGCGTGCACGTAGCCTGTTCCCCCAAGTAGAATGCATGGGTATTATTACCGTTTTCGGAGCGGGATTGTGCATCGTATAATCACCAGGACTCGATATCTAATAAATAACTTTGAAGTAACAGAATAAGAACCTAGTAACAGAATTAGAACCTCTTTTACACAGTCGCAAAATAATAATTTCATAACTTCAAATAATAGGATAAGACAACATTATTGTTAGGAGGGAACAACAGACAACAACACCAAAAACAACAGGTCCCGGGATCGACTCACGGCAGGCAAAGGAAGGTGAAATCCTTTCACTATATCCAATAAGTCACAGTAATCATCATCATCATCATCATCATCATCATAATAACAAATACCAATGATAATAGGATAAGACGACCTTTATTCAATCAGTCGCATAACACCCCTTCGGGCATTTCCTTTCGACGTTCCTGGCCGAAATTTCGGCGTTTTCTGAACCAAAATAGTCAGGGCCGCAATTTCGGCCTTTGGGCATTTAACTTTCGACGTTCCGGGCCGCAATTTCGGCATTTTTCGAACCGAAATCGTCAGGGATGACCGTGTTCCCCCGCCACTAGGACCTGACGACGATTTGGGAGAATGTACTTATGCCCAAGGGAGATTAGGATAAGATAAGACGACCTCTAATTATCCTATCAGTCGTGTAATAGGAGAAGATAACCTTTCGTCAAAGCAGTCGCATAATGGGACAAGACGACAGTCTACCAACTGAGCTAGGCCAGTGTAACAGACAGCCTTTTTTCCTACATTTCCATATACAGTGGATCTGCCCGGCTCCTCTCCACAAAGAAAAAAATAATAATAATAATACTAATAAATTGTTTCATGGCAAGTAACATTATTATGAGCTCTTCGGGTGTTCCATGGGCTCATTAGGCTACGTGCATTGCATTATTATACAATTACACGACAAATTTCCTTTTCACAATTGATTTCTTTTTTTCCTTAATTTCTATTGCGGTCTAACCCCGTAGAAGACACCGTCTTTAAAAAAATAGAAAATCATTTAAGCAATTTTTTTTTAGAAAAACGATACTATCGCCGATGAAAAAGCGGGAGAAAGTCCTATGGTCCACCGTTGCCCGACAATGTCACTGCCACGTGGCACCACGCCATATTGTCGTTATTATCTGCTTAATTACTGTAATAACAGCTCATCACTTCTTTTTTTTTGGGGGGGGAGGGGGGGCCGGGGGAAGGGCGGAAGGAGAGGGACATCATTTAACTTGGATGTGCCACACGTGTCGGCTCACGGGTGTACAGCAGAATGACCTTAAATTGGTAATGATACCTAAGGTGGGAAATTACCCAGAGAAGTAGGGAACGTAGAGAAAGGAGAGAGGGCGAGAGAGGGGACAGCGATGGGACGAGATCATGATTGCTGCCCTAATGGTGAGGAAGAAGTTACAGCCATCGCGACCTGACATACGCCCCTCGGGAGCTGACCTATTTCAACAACTCCAAGGGAAGGGGCACCAACGAATACGGAAGAAAGATATACTGGGTCCCCCTCCACTACTGAGCATTCAACATGTATACAGACTGCGACGTGGTCCAGATACAGTCGGACTTATCCGACATTTTGAATGTATCGGGGAACTCCAGATACAATTACAAGGAAGGTTGTCCAGTGGGGCGAGGCCCACTTCATCTCTTTAATTCTAGGAAGAGAGAGGCTTACCGCAAACATACGTAATAATATGGTCAACGTCATCCATTCGAGATAGGACACGTGGACAGGACATGTCGACAGATACATTCGAACTCACGTACCAGATCAATTAGGATTGATCCCTCGTCCATTCCAGATAGGACACGTGGACATGACGTGGACACAATTTCGGACTCGACATCAACTACTCAGCACTCAGCATGTACGTAGACTGCACTGTAGACCAGATACATTCGGACAAGGACATGTGGACATACATTCGGACTCCATTCACTACTCAGCACTCAACCTGTACATAAGACTGCACGATGACCAGAAACATTTGGACTGCACTGGGGACAGGACACGTAGACAATTCAATTCGCCTGTTGTTAACGGTTCGAGGAAGTCCAGCCACAACACAATCGTCAGCGTGTTGCCCATTTGGGAACAGAAAAAAAAAACAGGTGTTGACCACAACCAAAAGAAAAAGAAAAACTACATCCCATATGCTTGGCGTAACACAATTGGAACGAGACCGACTCGCACATGCTGGGGCAACACCTCTCTCTCTCTCTCTCTCTCGCCAACACCAACACCAACACTCTCTCTCTCTCTCTCGCCAACACCAACACTCTCTCTCTCTCGCGCGCGCGCCAACACCAACACTCTCTCTCTCTCTCTCTCTCTCTCTCTCGGAAACACCAACACTCTCTCTCTCTCTCTCGCCAACACCAACACTCTCTCTCTCTCTCTCTCTCTCTCTCTCTCGCCAACACCAGCTCTCTCTCCCCCCTCCATCCATCCGCTGTATCCGTTCATCCAGCGCTAAAAG